AAAACAATCACTAAATTTGTCCTGTGGTGGCTATTGTTCAAGCTGTGAATAGTGTTTCTACTCACTCTGTGATAAACATGAAAACAGGCAAAGAAAGTCCATGATCAGGCAGTTGTGAGGCAATGTTTAGAAGGAACCGAACAGCATTCTAAAGCCCAGTAGGTCCTGCTTGGTGTGAGTAGATGTAGAAAGCAGAAGCAGCGCCAGACGTAGTGGAATACACCTGTAATCCCAGCACTTGGGAGGCTGAGCCAGGATGATTGCCACAAGTTCAAGTCTAGCCTGGGCTACATAGTGAGCCCCCTGTATCATAAAGCCAGAGAAAGAAAATAAAAAAGCAGAGGAAGAGAAAGATCATAGTTTGTATTCCCGTGTTGATGTGTTATTACTTAGAAATGAGAATTTCTGAAAGTGAGGGTATTGGAGTGGGCTTCTTCCTTCAAGTTTGGGAGGAATTACATGCAACATTTTGTGGAGTGTTTTGCATCAGGGTCTTCCTATGTATTCCAAGGTGGCCTTGAACTCACTGTGTAGCCCAGGGTGACCTTAACCTTGTGAGATCCTGCTGCTTCAGCCTACCAGGTGTTGGGATTACAGGTGTGCACCTCCTTTCTTCCATTCTTTGTTTAAGGAGGCTCAGAGTAAAGTCAGGGCAAACTGTCAGCTGCAGAGGGGACGGTGCTTTGGGACTTCCTTCAGGGGAGCTTGCCTTTCTTTCCCCGTCTGCTTTCTTTCCCTGTTCTGCATCCTGCTGCCCCATGCTGGGATGTTGAATTGAATGGAGGCTCACGGGGTGTTTTCGTAAGGAACCCTGGCAACTGTTAGGCCTGGCTCAGCACCTTGCGGGTTTTCTGTTCTTGAAAACTCCTAGAGGAAATGGATTAAATAGTTTTCTAAAGATAATTCTATCAAAAAGGAATTGATGCAGGACATCTGACCGGAAAGAGGAGCTGGACGTACTTCCGCTGTGTGTGTGTACAGAATGTATCATGTAGGAAAATGTTGGTGACTGTAAAAAGCCAGGACCCCGTGTAGTCCTCACACCACCTGTATGGATCTTAGCCTGTAGACCCTCATCCAGTTGCCTGTCAGTAAGAAGCATCTTCTGGTTTCACTTTGTCTTGGTTTTCTAGAAATCAGGCTCCATTCTGACTTAAGACTGTCTTGGGGAGCCATGCAAAAGCCTGTGTTTCCAGGACTCAGAAGGCTGAGCCAGGAGGATCACCCTGAGTTCAAGGCCAACCTGGAAAACAAAGCAAAGCTCTGTCTCAAAAAAAAAAAAAAAAAAAAAAAAAAAGAGGCAGGTCTGGGGAACTAGAGTCAGCTCTTTATTCCAGTTGCTGTTTTGGCCCACTTTTGTCTCCACTGTGGGCTCCCCAGGAACTCTCGAGGCAGGAAGAGACAGAGGAAACGCGAGGTCCTGTTCCTTTTCCGCAGAGCAGGCAGTGCTGGGTGTTATCTTCCTGGCGCTGGGAAGGAAATGGGGAGAGTAGAAGAGCCCGACTCCTGACTGGCATGTGTAAGGGATCCTAGTTTCATTATCCAGATGTCTAAAATTACTTTATTGATATGTAAGCTGCTCACAGTTATGTGGGCAAAGAATTTCATTGACCATTTTAGAAATGAACATGTAAATGTGGATGCTGCATGCCGTCTTTACTGATTTACTACTAAACTGTTTATCTTCCTTTGGCTTTTTTTTTTTTTTTTTTTTTTTTTGGTTTTTTGAGACAGGGTCCAGGCTGGGCTGGAGCTCACTTTGTAGCCCAGGCTGTCCTCGAACTTGCAAGGATCCTCCTGCCTCAGCCTCCCAAGTGCTGGGATTACAGATGTACGCTACAACATCCAGCATATCACTGCTTTAAAATTAGATCTCTTGTGACCTATTTCTGTTCAGTTAATGTCACTCATCCTGCTGGTGACATGGACTTGGAGCCATGGAGCCTGCACTGTTTCTCCCTCTTGTGTCCGCCCCATCCTCGGCCTAGCTGAAGCCTGCCTGATTGGGCCTCTTGCACCATGGAGAAGCGGTGGGCAGTTACCAAGGGGCACTCCGCTGTCTGCTGGGATTGGGGTGCAGTGCGCGTTTGCATGCAGAACACAAGCTGTTCCGCAGAGGGCTGAGGGCATAGGAAGGAGAGACCAGTGCACTCTTGGGACAGAGTTGCGAAGGTTCCTGGGAGGAAGCAGTTTTGGCACCCAAGGTCGCCCACATTTCATAGCAGTGTGTTTTGATCCTTGTTGTTCTATTTTTAGTTTTTGCAGTGCTAGTGATAGAACCCAGGGCCTCCTGCATGCTAGGCAAGCTCTGTAAGACACCGGGCCCCAGTCATATCCAGCTTGTTTTAATATTTAAAGCTTTCTTCTGTTCTTTGCAGCACTGGGGATTGCATCCTGACCCTTTTCCCTTATTCCCAAAGATTAACTTTTGTATTTTGACTCCTTCTGCATCCCTGTCCAATGTGAACTGATCATTACCTGTTTTTGTTATTGTTGTTTGTTTTTGGTCTTTTGAGATAGGGACTTACTCTTAGATAGGTAGCTCAGGCTGGCCTCATGGTGATCCTCCTGCCTCAGCCTTCTAAGTGCGGGGAGTATAGACATGCACCACCACACCCAGCACAATTACCATCTTAATGATAGCCTTGCAAATGTTTGACCAAGAAGCACCTTTCAGCTCTCTAGAGGAAGCAAAGTCTGTTTCCTCCCAATGCCACTGCATTTTTTAGTAATTATCAGAAATTGTTATGCTGTGGAGTCCAAAACAATCCTCTGATGACTAATTGGAAAAGCTTTTTAGTTTGTTTTGAGACAGGCTGTATAGTCTAATGGCCTCCAGGTCCTGGTGATTCTCCTGCCTCAGCCTTCTTTTAGAAACCAGACCTCGCGGCACGCCCTGTCATCCTAGATGCCCTATCATCCTAGATGGTCAGGAGAATTGCAGGATTGAAGCCAGTCTGGGCAATTTAGCTAGACCCTGCCCCAAGATAAAGACAACAAATGAACAAAAAATGTGAAAGGTTGAGGCAGGAGGATTGAAAATTCAAGGCTGGGCTTGAATTTAGCAAGACCCTATCTCAGAAAATTTAAAGCACAGCTGGCTGGAATCATACTCGGTGTGAAGTCACTGAGTTCAATCTACAGCACTGCAAAAAATAATGATGGCAACAATACTGATAAATAAAAACTTTTTTAAGCCTTGAAAGCCTTATCACAGGGAGGTCTCACCAAAGCCCTGGGATCCCACCCACCCGATGCTGACTCACGGGGTAGGACCGGCCAGCTCTCCAGTTTATTTCCGGGGAGCTTTGCTGTGAGGCCAGCGCTCTCAGAGTGCGGTGGCATCTTAGGGGAAGTGCAGGGCTTAGCCTTGAGCTGGGCACAGTGTGCAGTGACAGTGCTTGCCTGCCGCTGAAGCCCTGTCTCGGTCCTCAGCAGCGCAGAAGTCCAGCCAAGCCTCACACTGGTCTGTCTTTGTGGAAGACAGGTGCTGTCAGCCTGTTCCCTCTGCTCTTCCTTTTTCCTGCCGATCGAGACCCAACAACGAGTAACCCAGCCGGCTGACTTTTATCCCTGCACCCAGATAGGAAATCTTGCTAGACGGCTCTCTCCTTCATAGGCGTGGTGGCATAGGCCTGTAATCTCAGCACTGGGGAGGCTGAGACAGGAGGATCCTTGGGAGTTCAAGGCCAGCCTGAACTGCATAGTGAGATCGGGTTTCCAAAACTCCCTCTACCCCACCCCAGGGCATGACTCTGCCTGTCCCAGCAGCTCTGATGAGGCTGCGCCCACTTGAGTGGGCGATGAGAGGCCCTGAGGCCCTGCACTGAGCAAGAGGAAACAGGCTGCAACCATAGGAGGTGACCCTGTGCCCCCTGGCCCGCACCAGGCTGTGTGGCCCCAGCTGAGAAGTGAGGCCTGCAAGTCTATGTTAGGGGCAGTCAAGAGCTGGCTGAACGTCTCTCTTCAGCCATCAGAGCCAGCCCGGAAGCACTCACCGGAGCCGGGTGTGGCTGCCCCCCAACCCCCAGCACTAAGCTCTGTCCTGCGGCGTGGCTCCTTGGTTCACTGTGACCTGGCACCAGCCCTTCTCTGCTCTTGGCACCACCCGCTTCTCTGTTCTGCACACATCTGGCAGCAGAAAAGAGGTTTCTAAAGGCAACTTTTTCCTGAGTCTTTTCAACCAGCAGCAGAAAGCATTGTTTCCGTGGACCTAGGAGCTTTCCTGTGGAATTCCCCTATAGGTCTGCACAGTGGCAGTGAGATTCAGGACTCTGTCTCCGTGTGAGGCACCGTCCTCCGTGGGGCAGGCCAACACAGCCCCGGAGGGCTCTTAAATGCAGACTGCTGGCCTCTGTAGCCTTGGAGATTTTTTGTTTGTTTTTAAGATGGTAATAGGTTAGACTTCTTTTTCTTTTTTTTTTCCTTTTGAGACAGGCACTCACTATGTAACCCAGGCTGGCCTCGAACTTGAGATGATCCTCCTGCCTCAGCCTTCAGAGTGCTGGGTTTCCACACCCAGCTGGCACATGCATAGTTGGTTATAATCAGCATCGTTAGTTTGCAGACCTCATAGATGTGTCCGTAGTATTTGTGGATGAGGCTTTAAAACACCAAGGCTCAGCAGGAGTAGCAGCCCTTCTAGTGTGCCTGGGCAGCCGCTGCCCTCTGTGCTGAGCCAGCTCTGTGTGGCGGCCTGTGGTTCATACCCAGAGGACTTGCTCACCTGCACCAGACACCGGCAGACGCGAGCAGCCAGAAACTTGCTTCCCCCTCACCTTCCAGCTGTCAAGGTGATGTTGGAGTTAGGTTGTAAAGGTGAAAGGGTTTGGATTGTGCACAGCCTCGAGAGGGATTTGAGGGGAAGTGTCACTCGTTGGCTTCTCTGCCCTCAGAAGCCGGGACACTTCGCTTGGGTCTCGAGGCTGGGAGGGCAGGGATGGCTTGGTTCCCATGCACTTCTTGTAACTAACGGCACTCCTGTGTGGTTTCCGTTGAAGCAGCTCTGGACCAGGCCCAGAGGGACCCCGGGATCCTGACCTTGGCCTCGAAGACTTGCCTTCCGATGAGGATGAAGTCATCAACAGCTCGGATGAGGAAGATGGCAGCTCTGGATCGAGTAAAGGGGAGCCAGAGCCACTGGAAGATAAGCAGGTGCGCTTTGGTCACTAATTATTTCTACTCTGTGCTCGATGGCCTGTCACCGTGCTTGAGTAATTTGCTTTCATAGTGGCAAAAACACAGTCTTTGGAGCCAAACTATCGTGTTGCCACCACTTCTAGCTGTGATCTTGAACAGCAGCTTCCTTTCTCTTTTCCGTGGCTCCCCCATCTATAAAGAGTGGAGGGAGCATGCTCCCCTTGTGTTTCAAGGTTCTTGTGATGAATGATTATACGCTGTGTGGGACAGAGCCTGGCACCAAGTGAGTGCTTGATAGGGTTCTGCTATTAGGTATCGTTTATATGAAGCAGATTGAGCAGGCAGGGACATCCAGATGGCTGATCATAAGCTGAGAAAGGCTGTCCAGCATCGTCAGCTAGTGAGAGGGATGCGTCCAACCCCGGCGAGATCCCTCTTCCCACCCACTAACCAGCGTGGCTGTGATCAAAATAATGACAAGTACCCCTGCCAGCGCTCACAGACCCTGGATTCTGCCCTCTGCACAAAAATAAGTCGGTGAAACAGGCCCACAGACTAGATGGGTTAAACATCAGGAATGTGTTGCCTCCCAGGGCTGTAGGCAGACATTAGCAGAGAAGCTGGCAGTGGGCCTTGCACCTGGCACCTGCAGGGAGGCTGTTTCATTGCTCTTCTGATTCCCGGCCTCCCGGGCTGCGTGGTCATGGGGCCCTCGGCCACTTGCTTCTTGGTTGCATGGTGCTGTGCTCACACCAGTCTGCACGTCTGAGTCTCTTCCAAGGGCTGCTGTCAGGTGCAAGCCCAGTGTGACTTCACGTGCAGCAACTCTGTTTGCACCTGAAACACACCCCTTGGTCCTGGAGCAGCTCCAGGAGGGCACGGTGTGGTCCTTCCTGGTTCCATGTCCATGGACTTATATGGCCCAGTGCTGCCCTGGGCAGAGCCAGAAACATCCCTGCGATTCAGAAAGAGCAGATGTCTGTTATTGCATGCTTGCTTTATTGCAGGAAAGCAGACAGGGCTTAAAAGCTTACCTCTTCAGGTAAACACGGCATTGCGAAGGAGTAGTCACCTGCAGCCTCTGTGTGTCCGAGCCTCTGCTGGGGTAGGGTGTCACACTTGGCCATGGGAAGTAGCTGGGATAGGACCTGACTTGGTGCGGTCCATTGCACAGGAAGAAGAGGAGTTTAGACAGGTCAGGTGACATGCCTTGGAGCCTCTGAGTTGAGATTTCAGCCAACATCCACCTCTGCTGACAAGTGGGAGCGTCATTCACTGAAGCTGAATAATGTGTATGGAACATGTTGGGCCAGGGAAATGAGCGTGCTAATCCCGATTGTCCTTTTTCAGAAATGTTTTAGCTATGTATTTTTCATTGTTTCAATGTGTAATAAGTGCTTGCTCTATAAATGAAGTGTAGTAGCTCCAGGAATGGTGGCGCATCATGTAAACTCCACTTGAGAGGCTGAGACAGGAGGATCATCATGAGTTTGAGGCCAACCTGGGATACATAGTGAGTTCAAAGCCAACCTGAACTATACAGTAAGATTCTGTCTCAAAAAAAAAAAAAAAAAAAAAAAAATAATAATAATAGTAGTAGTAATAATAGTAATAATAAAAAATAAAAATGAAGTATATTCCTTTCTGGGTTTTGTGGTTAGAATATTCACCCTATTTACCTTCTTTGTATATTTGCTTCTTTGTTCTTTTTCAAATCTTTATTTTTTAACTTAATTAAAAAAAATTTTTTTTAGGTAAGGTCCCACTGTATAGTTCAGGCTAGCCTTGAAATCATTATGTAGCCCAAGCTGGCCTCGAATGTGAGGTGATTCTCCTGTCTCAGCCTCCTGAGTGCTGAGGTTACGGGCATGCACCACCATGCCTGGCTTTCAAATCTTCCTTATAAAATAGCTCATCATATATTCCCTCATGAATAGTGGTGTGAGAAACTAGAGAGAGCATTGTCTCTTAGGTGTTAATTATGCTTTGCCTTATATTTGGCGTGACCTATAAAGAGATACTCATTAGGTCGGTCTGAATGGTAACATTCTTTGTTTTTTATTAGATGTCTACAGTAGGATAGAAGAGACCTTTTAATGATGCTATTAAAAATAGGTAAATTTCACTGGGCGTTACTTGTAGTAAAAGTATGAAAAGAGAACACAAGAGTTTGCAAAGCTGGACTGTTGTCAAAAGATCAGAGCGTAAAAGTGGGTTTCAGATCAAAGGTACTGTTTTGCAAGGCTGGACTGTTTCGGGATTTGTTTGACGTATTTTATGACCTTGACAAATAACTTCATGTATTTATAGCTCATGTTTCACCTTCTACAGCAGTGTGCTTTTTGGGAGATGCTGTTATTTAACCGGCAATCTGCTTTGAAATGTGATACAATTGAAGTGGGGATTTTATTAACTGAAAAGTTGAGATGCCAAGTATGGCCTCTCTTGAGGGCTTACAGGGAAGTGTGTTTTTCCAGTGTCATTTGACTTGATCAGAACCAGTCACTGTTCTGACTCTCTGTGTAGATTAGGGTAACCTAGTGTGTATCCCAGGCTTGCCTGGAACTCTTGGTGATCCTCCTGCCTCAGCCTTCTGAGTGCTGGGATTATAAGTGTGGGCTGCTAGGCCCATCTTGGTCATTAGTCTTACCCGTTGTTTTGTTTCTTAGGTGTCTGACTTTTTATCCACTGTGATAATTATTTTGATCCATTGATTCATTTTCTAATAATTATCCTTTAGTTAGCAGTTTAGTTTTCCTAGTTTAAAAGGATAAACAGAGAAATGTGTAGATTCTCAATTTTGAAATCAGAACAGGCCTTTTCATCTAGTTCAGCCCACTAGTTGAGTTTACGTTTGTGTTTTCATGTTACACAGCACATGTGCAAAGTGATGCACTTGGTCCTCAATTCTGTGATGGTACCCATCGCCCTGTGCATCTTTGCTTACTCCTGAGTAATAACTACACGGTAGATTGGGCCCCGAGCTCTGTCAGAAGTATGCAGGATGGATAAAGTCACCGGCTGGAGGGAATAAAGGTGTATGGGTCAGTGAACACAGCCTGCTGAGTTAGGGCCTGTGCATACTGTGTGCACACAGACTCCTCTGTCTTTGGGAGTGGCGGGTGAGAGCATCAAGGCGGCTGCCCTCACAAGTAAACCTTTGCTTGCCATCTTCACGGGTACCTTGAAACATGGCAGGCAGAAGTCCTTGGAGAGCCAGCGTGGTGGCTCATGCCTGGAATTCCTGCACCAGGGGGCTGAGGCAAGAGGATCACTGAGTCCCACCCAGCCTGGGCTACACAGTGAGACCTTGTCCCCCACACAACCCTGACAAAAATTGCCCTATGAACACGGATTGTGTTATTGTGCAGGTAAAAGTTGTTCAGGTTGCCGTCCTCAGAAAAATAAGAGTGTACCTTTAGTATAAATAAGTGGAGGCCCTTTAATATTTTCTGCTAGTTAGCTTCTGAACATTAATGAGAATTTAGGAAGGAAACCCTAGGCAATTGCATTTCTTTTGAAGGATGTTTCAGTTAAATAAACAAACTTCTGAGGCAGTGTTTGCAGAAGCAGGCTGAATAAGTGTGCGAGGTTTTTGCATGTGCTGGGATTGGAACCCAGGGCCTCGCCAATGCTAGGCAGGTGCTATACCACTGAGCCACATCCCTCGCCAAACAGAGGCAGGCCAGAGAGATCTTGTGTCTAAGGTAGCTTCGTAGGCCTCGCAGCTTCCTGTCATTCAGAGTGGTTAGCATATCAAAGCTTTGTACTTGGGGGCTTGTTCTGAGACAGGGTCTTGTTATGTAGCCCAGACTGGCCCGCAGTCGTGTAGGTCCTGCTGAGATTCCACCACACCTGGGTTGGGGTGGTGTTTTTCCTGAGCCCTGGCACGCTGGCGTACAGGTGCTTGTTGGGTTGTTTAGACTGATCCATGGCCATCAAATGCTTTACTTTGGTGACACCTTTTCTGATTTCACACTTCTGGCCCATTATGATCTTTTTCTCCTTAAGACAGCAGCAGAGTTGTCCTTCTATGTAGTTATTTGCGTATTTGCTATGCTCCCTTTATTCACTTCTAGGTGGCTGGGGCTGTGTCTTTAATCTCCTCTTGTAGCACCCACTTCCTGGCTCCATCTCAGACTCCAGATTAGAGTCTCCAGGAGTCACCAAAGACTGTGGACTGGAGGACGCGCCTGGTGGTCTAACGATCCATCATGTCGGTAGGCTCAGTCAGTTGGCAACAGAGCTGTTTTTTCTCAGTAACTTCGCTACTGCTATGCAGTGTTGGAGCGTAACTTCCTCACCGCAGAGGCTGCAGTGACGGGTGAAGATAGTGCTGAGTCCTTCCTCTTGGAAGTGATCTCAGAATAACAAGGAGGATCAGAAATGTAAATTCTGTCTGTGGGTGTATTATGAGACTGCAGGAATTCCAGATGCAATTCTAGAAGTAAGGGATGCCATCCTCCCAGCAGGGTATAAAGGTTCCAGTTTCTCTACATCTTTTGCAAGACCTGTGTTTTTCTGATTTTTGTTCTATAGCTATTCTGTGGGTGTGAGGTTGTACCTTGTTGTGATTTTAACTTGCATTGCCTTAGTAGTTAATTATGTCAAACAACTTCGCATATACTTATTTTGGCCATTCTGACATAATTGTTGGCAAAATGCCTCTTTACATCTTTCTTTTTATTTGGAGGCAGGATCTCACTGTGTAGTTCAGGCTGGCCTTGAACGCACTATGTAGACCAAAGCTGGCCTAAAGTTCCCAGCCATCCTCATGCCTCAGTCTCCTGAGTGCAAGGATTCACAGGCATGTGCCACCATCCCGGTTTCTTTTTCTCATTTTTAACTGAGTTGTTTAAGTCCTGTGGAGTTACCAGAGTTCTTTATATATTTTGGGTACTAGTCTTTTTTTTCAAGAATCATGATGTGGACAAACGCAGATCAGCACCACACTGAGATTTCATCTCATCCAATCAGAATGGCTGTTATCATCAGAATGCAAAAAACAATGGTGGGCATGTGGTGACACAGGTTTGTAATCCCAGCACTCTGAGACAGGAGGATTGCTGCAAGTTCAAGGCCAGCCTGAACTACACAGGGAAACCCTGTCTCTGGGAAAACAAAAGAAGAAAAAAAAGGGAACGCCCAAAACAGTGAATGCTCATGAGGATGCCAGGAAGGCCCCCTCTGCACTGCTGGGGGAACGCAAGTCAGTATAGCCACGGCGGAAGTCAGTGTGGAGTCCCCCAGAAGCCCAAGTATGGAGCCACCATGTGATGCAGCTGTGCTGCTCCTTGGTGTGACCCAAAGCATTGGAGCCAGCGTGCCTCGGGGCCCCCTGTGCACCGTGGTTACCGTGGCACAGTTCACAGTGGGCCGGGTGTGGACCCAGCCTGGGCGCCCCTCAGTGGACAAGTGGGTCAAGAAAATGTGGTCTGCGCACATAGTGAAGATCATTCAGCCACAGGGAAGGACGTCATGTGCAAGAAGATGGGTGGAGCTGGAGGCCATCGTGACTAACAAAGTAAGCCAGGGTCAGGAAGACACATACCACGTATTCTTCCTGATACGCGGAGTTCACCAAAGGTGCCATGGGGAAGGGAGACTGTACTTAGACCAGAGGAAGGGATGGCGTGTAGGGCAGGGAATAGCGATGGCTATGAGCGAATCTTGGCATTGGAACCCCAGTAATGGGGAAGTAGCGGGAGGGGGGCGACGGGGTGATGAAGGCCAGGAAAAAGCCGAGTAAGTTCTGTGCAGGTGCGAATCTGCCAAAGCGAAACGTACTCACCTGTATTACCAGTTCTTAACAAGTGAGGAAAAACAAGGAAAAATCCGCATGAGCACGTACTTCCTCTGGTCTGTGTTTTTGTCACCTGCTGTGGGGAGCCCTGAAATCTCCCTAGGGAAAGCGCAGACTTCTGAGTAGCCCCCCAACACCATCCCCCCGACTCGGGCCCCGCAGAACAGCGTCCTGAGGAAGAAGGGGAAAGTTAGAGGAGCCTTCGCCAGAGGAGCGTGCGGAGAGGAAAGGAAAGCAGTGGTCAGGGCAAAGGGGAGCTCCACCGGCGTGAGGTTCCTGTCGGTGGCGTTTGAGAGCGAGCCCACGCGCTGCTCCTCCAGCCCCTCAGTCTACTCCTTTTAAAATGGACACAGTATTTTATGAGCATGAAACTGTCTAGCTACGGATGATAGAGAGCAAGCCATTTAACTAGAAAAGCATGGATTTGCCAATTAACTTTTTGAAAATATCTATTATCCAATTGTTCGTGTGTAATCATGGTTATTAGTGCAGGACTGATACGTGATCTCTGAATCCAGTTGTGCTTAAAAGTCCTTCCTGAAGGATGTTAGCTCTGTATAGTTTCTTCTTTTTTCTTTTTTTGTTTTTTTTCCGGTACCAGGAATTGAACTCATGACCTTGTGCTTGCCAGGCAGGCGCTGTGCTGCTGAGCTAAATCCCCAGCTCCTGTTAATTTCTTTCTTTCTTCTTTTTTTTTTTTTTTGTATAGTTTCTTTTTACAAATGCGATCCTCCTGTCGCAGGCTGCCAGAATGCTGAGATTACAGACTTTTACTGTCATTCCTGGCTACATACCTGGCTTCCAGATGTGACTTTTGAAGCATAGAGGCTGTGTCCTGCAGGGCCCGGGACTACCCTGGACAGTGCATCACCATTTACTCTCCATAGCCCTGCCTCATGGTTTATCTCTCGTCTGATTTTCCAGGTTTGCCTTTGTGGCATTCTGTAGTATGAATTGTGTGCTATGAAGAAACTTTGAACAGGATCAGAGCTAAGATTCTCATAGCCATCTCCATTATCCTTTATAAGTTTATGCACTTTTCTTTTGAGAACCTGCTGTGATTCTCCTGCCTCAGCCTCCCAAGTGTTGGGGTGATGTGTGCACCACCATGCATGGCTTGAGCTTATGCTTCCTTAATGTTCTCTTGTCTGCAGGAGGAAGGCACTGGGATGAAGAGCAAAGTTCATCACATCGCCGAAGAGATCATGAGCTCAGAGAAAGTGTAAGTCCCTGCCCTGCCATTCCCAAGCCTGTTTCCCCGCCCACTGGCTCATTTCCAACATTTTTCTCATTGCTGTTTCCTACAGGTTTGTGGATGTGTTAAAACTGTTGCATATTGTAAGTATGCACTGATATCTTCTTCATGCCTAAGACTATTCTCTTTTGTACTTTCTCCTACCCCAAGAGGTTTCAGCATAACAAACTTAATTACAAGTATATGTTTTCTGATACTTGGTTATATTTTTTAATTCATACATATGGGTAAATAGACATTTTCTAAAATATATCTTGTATGTCAGTACATCTGATGGTCTCTGAAAAGAAAGACGATGCCTTCAATGTCTCCAGTCTTTCTGTCCTCATACAAGGTTTTTTTTCTTTTTATCTCTTTGTTTATTTGTTTGTTTTTAGTGCTGGGGACCAAACCCAGGACCTCCTGCCTGTAAAGCACACACTCTACCCTGAGCTACTCCGCCAACCCCCGCAGTAAGGAATGTAAAAATCCTCATGTCCTTAGGCATTTGTGGAAGGGACCTGCTGCCGGGAGAATTTGGCACTGGCCACATGGAAAGCATGTCCTCATCACTGTTCAGAATTGCTTTCCCCTTAGTCAGGCATGTTGGTGCAGGCCTGTAATCCCAGCACACAGGAGGCTGAGGCAGAAGGATTGCTGTGAGTTTGAGGCCCATGTGGGCTACATAAGCAAGTTCAATGCTAGCCTGAACTACGTAGTGAGACTCTGTCTCAAAACAAAATAAAGAAAAACAAGACAAAAACTGTTTTGTTCTTATCCAAGTATCTCCCAGAAATGGACATTTGATTTTTTTTTTTTTTTCTTTGGTTTTTCTCTGGTACCAGGAACCGAACTCATGACCTTGCGCTTGCCAGGCAGGCGCTTTGCCGCTGAGCTAAATCCCCAGCCCCAGAAATGGACATTTGAAATAGATGTTTTTACAACCAACTTTTTTTTTTTTTTGAGACAGGGTCTTGTTATGTTGTTCAGGCTGGCCCTGAACTTTACTATGTAGCTGGCCTTGAACTCATGGCAGTCTCCCTGCCTCAGTCTCCCGCGTGCTGTACAGCCAACCTTTTAAAGTTGCATTTTCTGTTTTTATAATTGTCAGCTCGCACAGACGTGTTGGGAAGCAGTTACGTGTGTCTCACCACATGCTCGCGTTTCCCAGGTGTCCTTTGTCCTGGCATGTGTTCACAAGTTCCAGTTCGCGTCGGTGCTGCTTTATTCAGTTCTCCCTCAGGAAGATTCTAAGACTTAACAAAAGAAAGGGGAAGAGTCGGGGGAACAATGCAAAGAGACTGCAGTACAGTTATTGCTGTGTGGTATAATTATAAATACCATAAATTTAACTTTACTCCTGAGAAACAGAAGTTTCACAACATAATAGCCATTTTGTCTCTGCGAAAGAGCGCTTGCTTATTTTCTTCTTCCCTTTTAATAAATACCTCTGAAGATAAAAAGCTAGTTACGCTTAGAGGTGATTCACATTTTCCAGATGATTCCCCTGCACTTTTTACTTGGTTCACCAGAAAGAAAGAGGCCTATTTCCTGGGTGAAAAATCTCTGGTTTGAGAAATATTTTCTTAAAAATTCTTTCACATTGCTGATCAGTTTTAAGAAACTATTTCCCTGTGAATAATTCCTCATATTGGCTCTACTGTTAAGTTCTTCTGTGTAATTCTTTATTAAATGCCAGCACCATATTTGACCCACCCAGACAGATTTGTTAACCTTTGGGTAAGCTTGTTAGGCATTGTCCTTTGAACAAAGAAGTGACTTCTCAATGTAAGCTCCTGTATATTTGCTCTTGTGCCCTGAACAGCCCACTGTCGTTAGCCGTCTTTATTGTTTTGAGAGAGGGTCTCACTGTGTAGTCCAGGCTGGCTTTGAACTCAACCCAAAGTGATCCTCCTGCCTCAGCCTCCTGAGTGCTGGGGATGACAGGTGTGCGCCACCACTCCTGGTGGAATTGTGGGTCTTAAATTGTTTCTTATTTAAATTACTAAATCTCAATTGAATGAAATGGCCTTTTGAGTATTGCATGTCTTATAGCATATTGCGTAGTTATGTTGTTCAGTTTACCTACTTTAATCCTCATATGAACCGCACAGAGAGAGTTATTTCTATTTTTCAATGAAAAAGTAAGCTAGTTATCAAAAACAACCCACTACTAAATGCCAAAGACAGTCTCTTCTTTTGTGGTTTGATTTTTAAATTTTCATTTTATTATATTTTCCTCTTTGTTAGCATATGTTTGTGATACATAATAAATACATTTATCTTGGGGCAAAGCCAGTCTTTGAACTTTGGTCATCTGAGTCTTTGCACTCAGTGATTGTATAAAAATTAATTTATTTTCGTAATACTGGAAATTGAACCCAGAGCCTTCACAGTGAGCTATATCCCTAGCCCTTTTAAAAATTTTTTTGTGTTGAGACAGGGTCCCACTAAATGACTTGGTTCTCAAGGCTGAGCTTGATCTCATAATCCTCTGCCTCAGCCTCTCAGTGTGGTGGGGTTGTGGGCATGCACTGCCACACACCCGGCTAAAATGGTTGCTCCAGACCCTGGCCTTGCTGTATAGGGATATGGTGTGTGCTGGGATGCATCTGCTAGCTTTTGGAGTGCTTTCAGTCACCCAGGAAGACAGCAGGAGCCAAGTTTTTCTTCTCTAAAGACAAGGGAGGGAAGGGCAGGAACTGTAAAAAAAAAATGGAGGTGCATTATGTGCAAGGACCAGCTCCCCTGAGGAATAGAACCACTATGGACTGCAGATGCAGACTAATGCACAGTTTAGAAGGAGGAGACGAAGCTCGCCCTTGTTTGCCCAGGACATGTTTGTTATGTACTTGATACTTACGATACTGGCTTGCCCAGGATGTTATGGTAGCTGCTTGTCATTTATTAAAGGGGATTGGCAAGGAGAGAACGGACTTGTTTCAGTCATGTTTTACAGTTTGCCCCAAATGATTCTGGACCGTATGACCTAAGTCTATACATACAAGAACAGGGATAATTTCACTGGGGAAACGTTTTTATGTAGAAACTGAGGCTGGACTGTGAAGGTGGCGCCCCCGTTTGTCCTCACCCTCACCCACTCATCCCTACGTGTGGATCGTGGCTCTTTGCCCTCAGCAGCTGTGCTTAATAGGAAGTGAGTCTCCCAGAGCCCGTCTGCCCGTGTCTGTGTGGGCCTGTGATCACTGTGCCGGGCCAGTGGTTCTGTGACACCCGAGGTCAGGAGTCCCACTGGGCCAGCTGGTAGTGGAGTCACCTTCCTTGTGGTTCTGAACGGAGAGCCTGACCCCCGTGAATGTGGTCATTGGCCTTGCGCTGAGCTGCCTCCACTGTTTGCACACAATTGTGTTTTCATTGATTTATGCTTGGGTCTTCCCCACATGGTCAGAGCCGGCAAGGCTTTAAAGTTCTTCTGATTCTTTTTGTTTGTTTGTTGTTTTCCAGTACCGGGAATTGAACTCACAGCCTTGCACTTGCCAGGCAGGCACTGTGCCCTGAGCTAAATCCCCAGCCCCCTCTTCTGGTTCTTATTTATAGGTGTGTAGGGAATTAGTATAGCTAATGAGCTTGGTATGGTGGCACATGCTTGTAATCCTAGTACTGGGGAAGCTGAGACAGGAGGATTGCTGTGAATTTAAGACTAGCCTAGGCTATACAGAGAGACCCTGTCTCAAATTAATAATAATGTTATGATGTGTCTTATCATTCAGAGGCCCATTTCTGTCTCTGAAAATTCCAGCTTAAACAAACATCGGGTTCCTGTGACCAGAAACGAGAGTGTAGGTGGTTCAGGTTTGCTACGGACCATGGTGGGATTCTGTTTGAAGGAAGCATCTCCGGTCCAGACCCAGGGGCTCTGTAGCTTTTCTGCACCATGGATTTGAACTACCCAGCTTCCCTAGAGTGAAAAGCAAGTGCGGGGTCTCATTTTGAAGTGCTAGTCCTGCTGTCTAGCATCTGCGCTGACTTAGTCAGGAAGTGTTAGTGAATTCAGATTCTTCTGCCCCAAAATAGCTTTGCTTCTGGCTCTGAAATATCATCACACCTTCCCAAATTATGCTGGCTCTTAACATTTAGAAAAATAATCATCCTTCTTGTAAGAAGATAACAAAGATGTTCACCAGGCGTGATCGTGTACACCTCTAATCCCTGCACTCTGGGAGGCTGAGGAAGAGAATTACAACTTTAGGCTCAGCCTGGGCAACTTAGTGACTTCTTGAGACCCTATCTGAAAATGAAAAAAAGGGCTGAGGATGTAGCTCAGGACAAAGGCACTGGGCCCAACCTCCAGTACTGCGTGTACACGTGTGTACACACACACACACACACACACACACACACACACACACACACCTCCAATGGCATCAGTTTTGGGCCCTGGATGAGGTTGGTGAAGAGCTGAAAGGCTTCAGAGCCCCACGTGGCCCCTGTGGGATGGGTCACACCTGCTGCCGCTGCTCCCTGGATGGGGGATGCAGGACGCATGCGGCTCCAGCCCACCTGGGCAGGGCAGCTGCTTCCTATGCGTGGGCTCGAACCCAGATCCTCTGTGCACCGTTGAGCTACATCCTGCCACTGCTGCCCTCTTACGTTTTCAAAAAGGCGCAGGGAAAACCAGTATTCCCCACAGGAGAGAAAATGGTCCGGGACACTCGTTGCTGATCTTTATTAGTCTGAGTACCATTGCCATAGTCTCGGGCACCCAGCTGTGTGGCACAGAGGTTGGGCTGGGCCCAGCCCGGCAAGGTAAGTGGGAATTTAGAGCCATGGCAGAGGGGGAGTCGGTGGCTGATGCCCAAAGGAGAGGGACTCCCGCCCAGCCTGTGGAGCCTCCGGGCAGGGCCCCTGCTGAGCAGCCAGGCCGGGCGGGTGTGCCCTGTGGACGGGAGAGGGTAGGCAGCAGACTCAGGTGCCCAGACTGGGAGGTCTGTGTGATTGTATAAGGGGGCGCTGCGGACCTCAGAAGGGCTCAGAAACCTGTTCAAGCCGAGGCTCTGTCCGGGCTCTGTCAGAATATCTAACCTCCTGGGTCTTGTGGATAAATGCTAAACGACTGTGGTTTTAGAGCTGGGCTTCTGGTGCATGCCTGTAATCCCAGCCCTTCAGAGACTAAGGCAGGAAGATTGCTGTGAGTTCAAGGCCAGCTTGAACTACACAGGGGAAGCCAGTCTAAAATAAATAATAAATAAAAACAGCAACAACAAAAAGAGATAATACAGTTTTGTTAAATGTTCTTTTGTTCTTTTAAGTATTAAACTGCTGTTTTATTCTGACATACTACTCACACACACAAAAAGACCTGGGACATAATTGTCAGAGAGCTGCCTAAAATCTCCCGGGGCTGAGAAAAGTAACCTCGCGCCTGTTGCATGACAAAGGCCTCTCATCAGGCGGCGTCTTGGTCGCCGCAGCCCTGGGTCGGACTGGTCTCTGTTAAATGTGCCTAAGTAAACAGGTTTCCTTTTTGGCCAAAGGGGCAGATGTGGAGCACAGTCAGGCAGTAGCCGGGCTCACCCCGGCTCAGTCCCCAACCAAGTTCGTGAGCTGCTGAAGTCATCGTCATTGTCTTCGTCACAGCCCAGGAAATAAACACCTTCCAGCCAGAGAGCACAAGTTCTCCTGGTTTCTGCTGCTGAAGATAGTGCGGGCGGGGCTGTGTTTTACTGAGCAAGGAGCTCTTGCGTCTCAGTGACGTGAATCATGAAACTGATTTCTAAAAAATGCCAGAGACATTTAATGGTTGCGTTTTGAATACCCTCCCATCTGGGGAGCTCTGTGCGTGTGTCCTGTGGCTCTGCCTGGTGGCCATCCAAGGGTTTTCAGATGTGTTCAGCAGCTCTGCTTTGTCTTGTGAACGCGAGTGTGGACGGAAACAAGCTGCTGGGGGCAGAACTGCCAGTGTTCCTGCGTATCTGGAGATGTGTTGTGTGGTTTTCTGCATTGCAGCCGATGCAAGTTATAAATTCTTGGTAAATTTTATGCCAATTAGTTGTAGAAGATCTCAGTTACTCATGTAAGTAGTAGGTTTCTTTGGGCTAATGTGTGAGTATTAAACTAGTAAAGGGGCTTCTGAGTCCTAAGCAAGGACTCTCAGCATTTGTTAAGAGGATTTGACACTTTGAAGAGTCACTTTGGCAGCTGGGCCTGCCCACACTTGGGAGGCTGAGGCAAGATGGATACCTGTGAGTTTGAGGCCGGCCTGGGTTACGTGTGGAGTTGAAGGCCAGCCTGACCCAAATAGTGAGGCTCTGTCTCAAAGAATAAAGAAGAAATGAAAGGGAAATAGCCACACTTTAGAAAAGGAGTGCTTTCTTGTAAATTTAAATTGTACCTGAAAGTTTTAAAATTATATAAAGGACACGGGGTGTGTGTGGAAGGGATGGGGGCGGCCTGCGTCTTGTTTGGCTCGAGTCCCTGCAGGGGAAGCAGTTGGACACAGCCTAGTGAGAGTCACTTTCCCCAACCTTCGCTCTCTCACTCTAACTGAAACTCCTCTCTCTCAGGAACAAGTCTTTGTTTTTGGCTGTTCTGGCACCTGAACAGATTCCACTGTTGTTTTGCTTGCATCTTGCAGCCCAGCCCCAGGGGACAGGGAAATGTAGGCAAATTCTTATCTGCCGGTCCTGGACTGATGGGCTGACTGGCGCGGTGCTGCTGACCTACATTAAACCAGGGAGGGAGATGTGTAGAGCAATTTTTCCTCTGTGCAGAGTATAAATCCCAGTGAGCTGACTGGGACGTTGGCTAGAGAGAGGGGGAGAATTTAAGGCCCACGTGGATGTTGTTGCTGCTGTGTGCCGCGTGCATTGCGGAATGCTTTGCGTGCAGTGCCTCATTAGGGTCGCAGACAGTGCCACCCACAGACGGGCAGCAAAACTGGGCCGGCGCAAGGGAACCCTGTAAATCCAGAGAGGGCCCGAGCCAGGACTGTAGCAAGCCCGCACCTCCCTGCCAATCCCTCACCTACAGTCGCCGGTTGTTGGGGAAGTGATTATTGAAAGCGGACAGAGGGGCTCTTGTTTGTTTGCTTTTTAGAGTTAAGGTCTCTGGATAGCCCAGGCTGGCCTCACTCACAGTGATTCTGCTGCCTCAGCCTCCCAAGGGCTGGGGTTGCAAGTGAGCGCCACCATACCTCGCTTAAAAGGGACTCCTAGATCCTGAATAAAATTAGTCAGAACCCTCTGGCAACTTTTAAAATAAGTGATTGTACTTATACGATACTATTAGAGTAACTTGAAAGTTTACGGTTAGAATACGATTTTAGACACCTTCTTTGTGTAATTGCTAAGTTTGGGGATCCAATGAAAGTGTTAAGAACATTATAATAGTCTGTTCAAAATCAGATACCCAGCCTAGGTACTGTTCAGTTTTTTCAAAATTTCCCATCTAGGTAAGCGAGGTAGGAGGAAGCAGGTACTTTGGATTTGTAATTCCCGCAGGCCACAGCTCCCTGCAGTGTGTGTCACCGAAGGGGAGAGGACCCAGGAGGAAGCCCGACCTGTGTGTGTGTGTGTGTGTGTGTGTGTGTGTGTGTGTGTATGGTGTGGTGTGCATGCGCGTGTGCACAGTTTTCCTCCTCTGCATTCCCATAGGACTTCCGAGACGCCGTGGGCCATGCTTCCAGGCAGCTGGGGAAGCCTGTCATTGAAGACCGGATCCTGAATCAGATTTTGTACTACCTGCCGCAGCTCTATGAGCTCAACCGCGATCTCCTGAGCGAACTGGAGGAAAGAATGTCCAACTGGTACAAAATGGGATGAGTTTCGGGATTTCCCAGAGTTTTCTGTTTCAGGTGAAGCCCTAAGGGCCCCACCTTGACAGTAGGTCAGTCGAGCTGTGGCGATATATTGAGCTCTCTTGGCACTTCTGTGGAGGTTGGGGTGTGTGTGTGTATGCGCACACGCACAAGGAATTGAACCCAAGGACTTCAGCATGCTAGGCAGGTGCTCTACCACTGGCCTACATACATTCCCAGCCCTAGATTACTCATTTTGGTTTTATTTTTTTATCTATCTATCTATTTATCTATGTATGTATGTATTTAGTATATATATATTTATGTATATATGTATGTATGTATGTATGTATTTAGAAACAGGGCCTCACAATGTATTTCAGGCTGGCCTTGAACTCACATTATAGCCCAGGCTGGCCTCAAACTTGCAGCAATCCTCCTGCCCCAGCCTCCTGAGAGCTGGGATTACCTTCATGCCCGGCCTGATGTTCAGTGTTTAGGCTCTCACTGTGTTGAAGAGTGGGCTGGAGGGGAAGGAATAGGAAGAAGCAGGGAGGCCAGGTCCTGAGGCAAGCAGAGCCCCGCCACAGCGCGTGGGGAGGGGGCTGGGAACGGGGCTGTAGCCGCGCCCTGCAGGAGAGAAGAGCAAAGGTGCACTCGTGGCTTAGCTTGCTGCACTAGCTGTTTTCTGGACACACGACCCACTCTCCTCTTACGTTTGTGCGTCTCTGCTCTCTCCTTAGGACCGAGGAACAAAGAATCGCTGATATCTTTGTAAAGAAGGGCCCCTACCTGAAAATGTATTCCACATACATCAAAGAATTTGATAAAAACATAGCTCTGCTGGATGAGCAATGCAAGAAAAACTCAGGTTTTGCTGCCGTTGTTAGAGAATTTGAGGTATTCACAGCCCTCTAATGTTGAACTTTCCTTCTTTTTTTAAGCATTAATATAATTGCCACTTACTGTAAACAAAACTTGCAGACAAAAATGTGTTACAGCATAATCCCTTCTGCTGGGTGAGGTGGCATAGGCCAGTCGTCCCAGCTCCTTTGGAGGCTGAGGCAGGAGAATTGCAAGCTTGAGGCCAGCCTGAACAACTTCGAGAGATCCTGTTTAAAATACAAATGTACAAAAAGGACTGAGGATGCAGTTTAGCACTCCTCGGGCTCTCAGGGTAGGGGTGGAGAAATTTGACCACATCGAGTGGTAAGAAGGCAAAATAGTGCGCTGTGCGTAATTCTCAGACTCTGTTGCTGCACAGTGGACTATTTCAACTTGGGAAAAATATTTTGATGGGACTTTTTGAAAATTGTGCTGAAATACACATACAGCTTTACATTTTAGCCTTTTTGTTTGTGTTTTGAGACAGGGTCTTGCTCTTTAGCCCAGGCTGGCCTTGAACTCATAGCAATCCCCCTGCCTCAGTCTGCCGAGTACTAGAATTATAGGCATGCACCCCCACACCCGATGATGTTTTAGCCAGTTTTAAGTGTACATTCACGAAATATTGAGTACATTGACACTGCTGTGCAAGTGCACCTCCAGATCACATTTCATCTTTGAACACTGAGGTCATGACTATTAAGTAGGAACCGTCTCCTCCTCCTCAGGGCCCCCAGCCACCTTCTGCTTCCCTGTCCACGTGAATTAGATTACCCAAGGGAGCATGTCTTGTTCTTGTCTTAACCTTACCTTCAGTTCATCTTCTTGTTAACCTGGAAGGGAGCTAGAATGAACGTTTTGCATTAGATAAGTAAATAACATACTTTGGGTAACAAAATTCAGAAAATGAATCATCTGTTTATTGCATGTGTCAGGGGCCGGGAATTTAGCTCAGTGGCACAGCACCTGCCTGGCAAGCATGAGGTTGTGAGTTCAATTCCTGGTACCAAAAAAAAGAAAAAAAAAATGTAGAAATATTGCATGTGTCAGCAAAGGGTTTGTGTTTTAACAGGAGAAAGCAATCTTGATTTGCTTAGAGGTAAAAGGATGTAATTTACTTTTTAGAAATTAGTTTGATCCAAGCATGGTAACAAACTCATGACAATTCTTCTGAATCCTCCTGCCTCAGCCTCTCAGTGCCGGGATTATAGGTGTGCACCACCAAGCACAGTTTTAGTTTTTTGGTTTGTTCATTTGTTTTTAGTTTTTTGTTTGTTTGTGGGGTTTTTTTTGGCTTTTCTTCTCCTCTGGTGTTTTTACATTATCAAGAAAAGCAGTGTGATATAGTTAAGGCAACTGATAATGGGCTGAGGATTTGGTTGATGTCCATCCAGTGAGTAGTGTTTCTATAGCAACTAAGTAAGATCCAGAAGGTAGGGAGAGTTAGCACTCTTGGTAATGGTGCTGGTATGAAATCATCTTCCTTCCTGCCTTCCTACCTTCCTTCTCTCCCTGCTCTTACTCTCCCTCCCCCTCTCCCTCCCCTTCTCTTCCCCCGCTTCCTTCCCTATCCCTTCTTTCTCTTGTGCTGCAGATCAGACCTGGCAAGTATTCTACCACTGATCTGTACCTGTAGCCTTGAAGATACATTCATAACATATTAGCCTGGACAACGTAGTGAGACCCTGTCTCAAAGTTTCTGAGGGCTTTTTGGTTTTTTATTTATTTATTTTTTATTTTTGAGGCAGTCTCTCAGTGTAGTTCAGGTTGGCCTTGAACTGACTCAACTGTGTAACTTAGGTTGGCCTCAAATTTGCAGCAGTCCTCCTGCCTCAGCTTCTTGAGTGCTGGGATTAGGCATGAGTAACCATACTTAGCATGATGAACGTTTTAAAAAGAGCAGGGGATGTACTTTAGTCAGTGGTAGTATGCTTGCCTAAGATGCAGAAGATCCTGGATTTAATCCCCGGTACTCCAAAAGGAAAGAAGGAAGCTGGGTGTGTCTTCAGGATGTGCTTCTATGCCTGTGGAGGGTGAGATCCTAGCACTGGGGAGGCTGAAGCAGGAGGATCGCCTGGAGTTTGAAGCCAGCCTGAACTACATATGAGGACCCTGTCTCTAGAAAGCAAAGCAGAATAAAAATTAAAAAGCCACCGTGTTTATGGCAGCGCCTTTTCCTTTCAGATGAGCCCTCGCTGTGCCAACCTGGCCCTCAAGCACTACCTGCTCAAGCTGGTCCAGAGGATCCCGCAGTACCGGCTGCTGCTGACAGGTGGGCCTCTCTGCGAGTCCCCTCCTCGGGGACCTGTGTCCAGAGGTGCAGGTCCCCACCTGCAGCCTGGTGGATGTTTGTGGCCTGGTGGCTTCCAGTGCTCTGATGGTCCCTGGACATCCTCGCCTGGGCGTTCGTGCCTGTCTTCCCTTTCGCCACCCCAGCCCCACGTGCCTGTCACTCCTCATTAACATTATTCATCCCAAGAAGGTATTTTCCCGAGAAAGTGGGAGCTGGGCGTGGTGCTGCACACCTGTCATCCCAGCACTGGAGGGTTCCTGAGAGTTAGAAGCCAGCCTCAACTGCATAGTGGGATACTGTCTTAAAAAAAAGCAAACGAAACAAAAAACCCAGTCACCTTCAGAGGGCCCCTCCTCGGCGCACAGCACACATCGTAGTCCCTCTGCTTGGGAGGAGCATAGCTTCAGTGCCCAAATTTGAGAACAGCCTTGGCAACACAGTGAGATCTGGTTTTAAAAAAGAGGCGGGGAAAAGAATCACCTGCTTAGAGGCCGCACTGCGTGTTAGCAGAGTAGGCGATGGCCTGGCTCCTCTCCTGCAAGGGTTGCTAAGGGTCAGTGAGCGCCGGCACAGAGCAGTGTTCATTAGTGGGGTGTTTCACTCACAGTGAGCTCTAAATCAAGGGTGAGCTGCTGTTAGTAACAGTGGTAGCTGTACCCTCATTTTGGTTTCTTGATCATTGTTTGTATCTTCCACAAGACTTCTGAGCCATCTGTCTAGTGTACCACTGTAGTAATTTAAAAAGCCTGTAATTCTAGGAGGCTGAGGCAAGAGGTTTGCAAGTTCTGGGCCAGCCTGGACAACTGAGTTAGACCTTGTCTCAAAAAACTGGGCGTGGTGGTGCACATCTGTAATCCCAGCATTCTGAAAGTTGAGGCAGGAGAGGATTGCCGTGAGTTCGAGACCAGCCTGGGCTACATAAGTGCGTTCAAGGCCAGCCTGAACTGCATATCCTAGGAGAGCTGGCTACCTGGTGTTGGCACCACGCATCGTCCAGCACTGCTACATGGCCCACAGCAGGGCCCACTGAGTGCCTTGTGGGCCCTGACCAGCACCCATATCAGCTGTGTGTGAGACATACCAGCAGGTGCACAGCAGCAGGCCCAGCTGTGTGACTTACGTGTGCAGCTTCCTGTAAGTGAAATTTGGGAAACTAACTAGGGTTAGGAAATGAGTTTTATTTTGGGGGGGTTCTTCGTGTGTGAGTGGGTTTTTTGGGGGGTGGGGGTTTGAAATGGTCCAGGCTGGCCTTAAACTCACTGTATAGCCCAACTCATGCTGATCCTCCTACCTCAGCCTCCCGAGTGCTGGGATTACAGGTATGTACCATACCACCCCACCCCTCCGTTCTCTCTTGGAATCTACTTCTGATCTTCCCCATTCTTGTGACCCTGAGCTTCAGTGCCATGTAGGTTAACAAACGTTTATGTAGTTCCTTGTAAACTCACTAATATTTATGTAATTAAAAATACTAGCCCCTTAATTTGATTATAAACTCCTTGAAGTCAGAGAGTGCATCTTGCACCTGTAAATTACTCTCCCACCCTGTCACCCCCACAAAAGGCTGGAGGAAGTTCAGATACCAGGAAGCTGTCCGGGGAAACCATTTTGGGTGGTTTTATTCCAAGGTAAAACATCTCGTTAGCCCAAAAGTCTTCACCAAAGGTACCATACAGAGACGTAGAATTTCTGAGAAGTGAGATACAGTACCCTAGAAATGGGAAACAAGTGCTGCCTTCCTGGGCTACACAGATAGCATTCACTGGGCAGTCATGGTCCTGTAACTCTTAACGACACCAGGGCTTGAATACTCAGGCTTTGTTTTCTATTTCTGTTTAAAATTCATTTTTCCAATCCTCAACATTATGATGTTCTGATTGCTCCCTGTTTTGTAGGATTATTTCTACTGCTACCAAAGCACCCCTGTCTGTGCTCTTAGAATCTTAGCGGGTAGGCTAGGGATATAGCTCAGCAGTACAAGCGCCTGCCTAGCAAGCACAAGGTCCTGAGTTCGATTCCTGGTACCAAAAAAAAAAAAAAAATTAAAAAAAGCATCTTAGTGGGTAGGTTGAAGTCTTAGGCCTTCATGTGTTTGAATATATTAAGTAAAGGGTCCTTCCTTTGGGTAAATGAGCTCAGTGGATTTAATCCTCCCAGCAGCCTTGTGAGCTAAGTACTTTTAGTTCCACTTCAGAGTTGGAAGTAATTCCAGCTGCATATAGTGCACTGCAGACAGTGCCCTCAGCCAGGCAGCTCCTTCCCTGGCTGAGTTGCGAGCATTGGGCAGAGCTGGGGAGGCCCCTGCCTGACTCCGAACGCTTAGCTTGTGCCACCTCGGCTTCTTGGGAGGGAAGATGGAGGTCTGCAGGGTGGGGACTGGTAAGTAGGATTGTTGCTTTTGGAATTCTTTTAGAGAATTCGAGGTGGAAATTCCCAGTGGCAGCAGATCTTGCTACTACTGAAACAACTACTGTTTTGCAACGTTTTTTTCTGGACAAATGTGGTTTTATCGGGTGTTCTTCTGAGGCTGTCTTCTTTCATTGTCCTGGAAACCTTGCAACTAAATTATTTTGTTTCTGTGGTGGTTTTTTGAGACTGTGTATGTAAGTTCAGGCTGGCCTTAAAATCACAGTGCTGCTTAGGGCTGGGCTTACAGGTGTGTACCACCATGCCCAGCTCAAAGTGGTGGGATTTTTTAGAAAGTTTCTTTCCCATTTCCAAAAGACTCAGTTCTACCCAGTTCTAGCTAAATTGGGGGGGTCGGGATGTGTAGTTTAGTGGTAAAGCATTTGCCTAGCATATTCTAGGTCCTGGGTTTCATTCTAGCACCATCAATAAATTATTTAATTAATTCATGGTAGTATTTTTTCCTTTTTTTTTGGTCTTTTTGAGACAGGGTCTTTTTATGCAGTTCAAGGTGGCACTGAACTCACTGTGTAGCCCAGGCTGGCCTCGAACGCAGAGTGATCCTCCTGCCTCAGCCTCCAGACTGCCAGGATTACAGACGTGCACCACCACACCTGGCCTCATGGTAGTACTTTTGGAGGGTCAAGTCACAATAAGACTTAGGAGGATGCATACCACTGCATATGTACTTAAGAAAAACTACAGCAAGTGATTCGCAAGCCTGAAAGCTTACAGCTTTTACTTTTGTAGTGGCTGCACAGGATTACCGCGCTTGTCTCCTCCCCTTACTGCATGCACTTTCTTCCTGTCCCCAGCCCAGGGTCGTGCATAGATCCCAGCGCACGGCAGCTGCAAGGCTTAGGGAATTGGAAAGCTGCTGCTCTTTAAGAGGCTGGGAATCCTCCTGTGATGCCCCCTGAGTGCGTGATGTGTGTTAGATCCATAAATAACATTTAAGAGCGGCAGCATTCTTCCGGTCTCCAAGCACAGAAACTCGAGAAGGACTGAAGTCCTTCTCCTTCCTCATCTCCTCCTGGTGGGGTCTTCCTCCCTGGTTGCCTGGGGCCTCTGTTCCCGTCCTGCCTCCCTGTCTCAGGCCCCAGCCCAGCCAGCTCGCAGCAGTGCCCTTTGTCGCTGGTCTGTCCTTTCCTGGAGCCCCTGCATCCTGGTATGTGCCTCGGCCTCTCAGAGTGTAGGGTTACAGGGGTGTGCCACCATACCTCAGCACGTCTCTCTCATGGATCTTTCACCCAACAAATATTCCATATGCTGTTTGTTGCTGTTGTTGTTGGTACCAGGAATCGAACTCAGGACCTTGCGCTTGCCAGGCAGGCGCTTGTGCCGCTGAGCTATATCCCTGGCCCCTCAACAAATATTAATTTGAGCCACTGTGGCCTGTGGCAGGCAGGTGACACAGCGTGCCCCTCCCCACGGGTCTTCCTGTCCTCCTCCTGAGCTCCTGTTTTGTGACTGAGCCTTGCGCTTGCTTGGCTTTTCCCCGAGTCTGTCTTGTGTCTCCTCAAGTACGCTGTAAACCCATTCAAGGCAGAGGCAGACGTAACCAAGCAGTGGCCACGTGATACCATTTAGACGGTGACTGTCGGGCGACTTACTGTTTTTATAAAAGTTCACCATTTTCTTTGAAGAGATCTTTTATATATATAAAAACGTAATTTATAAAGTAAAACCCCCTTCTGCCTTCCAGAAATGACTGTTGTAGATCCTTTAGATGTTTTTGTCTCTCTCAGTGTTATATACTGTGTAGTTTTTTCTCGGTATGAAACTTGGCCTTCGTGAGAAGCTATTACACTGGTATTGAAGCAAGTTCAGTTGGTTAGGATCATAATAGAGGAACTATATTAAAAATATAATTTAAAAATTCCTCTGATGAGCCTTTTCCACGTGTAGGTTTAGAGAGGAAACACCAGTTCTTTGAACTTTGAATCGGCGTGGATCAGGTAGTTTCTTTGATCTAAAGTTGAAAATATTTATGCTGTATTAAGGGTTGCTTTAACAATTTCTTATGTTACTCCCTCCTGTAGACTTTGCCTTCCATCCGAGGTGGTATCAACTCCCTGTAGGTTTTAGAAATCCAAGATTTTCCTTGTAGATAGAAAGTAGGATGTTAAAACATCTGTTACAGCATTCTGAAGCTATAAATTGGACCCAGAGCAAGTTTTTAAAGTTCTGTGGCACTGTAGTGTGTGTGCTTCTTGAGGACCGCATTAAGTGAGAAGAATCTGGTGGCAGGTCTAATAACGACCACGGTTTTGCAGTAGTGGTGACAGGACGTATTTTGAGGCGTCCGCCATAAGGAAGCAGTGTTAGCAAACACGCGAGCCCGTGGGGAGCGTTCTGCGGGTGCTGACGGTGTTCTTGTGTCTGCCGCCGGCTCGCGCATGCGCCGAGCCCCGGGAATGCTGTTTGCCTGCAGGCTCGCGCGAGCGGTATGGGCGGTCGACATTGCTTTGTCCCAGTGCCTGTCGCAACCAAGCTGGCTTCTCTGTGCTGATCGGTGCGCGGCTTCGACCCAGGTCCTTGCGAGCCGCCGCAGGCCTCGGTCGCCAGGACTT